GCCAAGTGATGAGACTCAGAAGGAATTGCTCTAAAATATCAGTTTTCAAAGCTCAAGCACAAGACCTGAAAACCAAATTCATACAGAAGGAATATAATGCTAAAGAAATTGAGACCATGATTGATTAAACTTTAACTCTAAAAAGAGAAGACCTCGTAAAAAAGAAAAGTATAAAAGCCAAAAATATTAAAGATTTTTCTCTACCCTTAATATTAGATTATACCAATAAAAATAAATGTTTTAAAATATTGGCACCTCTTAATCTCTTAGTGACCAGACCGTTTTTCAATTTCTTACCGTTAAGGACCAGGGCTCTTTTTACATTTCTGGAATGTTTGTGTTTAGCTGTAATTTATTATTTACTCATTTGCTGTACCCACACATATTTTATATACCGTTTTTTCGCCATTAAATGGTCTTTCTAAAGATATCATTATTTTCATCATATCATATATAATTTACTATAGCAAAAATTATAAAATATGATGTAAAACAAACCCAAAACCTTTTCTAACACTGACCCCCAAAATATATTACGCATCTACAACCGCCAAAAAACACCCGTGCTAAATAGTTTCTTAATTTTGTTCTGAGTTTAGAAATACCCAATGTTAACATGTTCTTAGCTTTTTTTTATTTTTTTTTATTTTTTTGCAAGTTATAGGGCTATAAGTACAAGTAGGACATTGCTGTTTCAAAATAGATATTTTTAAAATGTATCAATAGTGACATTGTAACATGATTATCTGTCATAAATCTCTGAATCACACCTCACATGTACATATATTTTTTTTAAAGACAACCGAGGGTATTCAATATGGGGTATATCCAGTCTTTTTTAGTAGCCACTAAGTCACAAACACTGACCAAAGTTAGCATTTATATTTGTTTATAGTGAACGCCTATAACAAAACCTTTTTTTTTTTTTTTTCACCACTAATATTCTGTTCAACAAACCAATGTAGAACAATGGTGTGCTTTGAAAAGCACAAACAAAGTGCTCAGACATAGAACAATCTGTATATCATGGATGTCCAATTGTCTTTGACCACTCTTGTATGTATTCCACCCTTCAATTCTTAAATCTAACTCAGCTTGGGCAGGCTGTCACACAACATAGAAACATAGAATGTGACAGCAGATAAGAACCATTCGGCCCATCTAGTCTGCCCAATTTTCTAAATACTTTCATTAGTCCCTAGTCTTATCTTATAGTTAGGATAGCCTTATGCCTATCCCACGCATGCTTAAACTCCTTTACTGTGTTAACCTCTACCACTTCAGCTGTAAGGCTATTCCATGCATCCACTACCCTCTCAGTAAAGTAATACTTCCTGATATTATTATTATTATTTTTTTTTTTTAATTCTTTATTTTTGGTTTGACGAAGTAGATGATAAACATGCAAGCATTTACATTTTCGAACAAGACAGCGCAGTGTCATACATTAGCGCAGTGCATGCATTTGACAGTTGTCAGTTTAGGCATATTATATACATTAAGTTTTCTGTGGGTGTCTTCGTCTAAACTTTTGGTATAAGTGGCAAGCGGTGTTAACTATATACAATAGCTTTGTTGTGAGGAGTTAGGCTTAGAGAGTAGAGTGTCAGTCCCCCCGCTTCCTGAGGTGCGCAATTGCACTCTCCCTCCCTTCTACGCTCTGCAAAATGTTAGCGTATTATTATTTGCTTTCCCCTCCTGCAATCTTGCTGATCTAGGGTGCTTGCCCTCAAGGGATAGATAGAAAGGAAAAGTAAAGGAATTGGAGACAAGTACGTGCGTGTTTAACAGTTTCAGTTTGATATGGTTACCGGATGGACCACCGATGGGGGTGGTCAACTCCCTTAAGCTGTGTTTTATGTACCGGGCCTGGCCCCGCGCTCATCTAGTAGTGGTGCCTCTTTCGCCTGGTCGAGTAATGGTGTGGTGGTTGGCGCTGGGTGGGTCCTAGCCCCGCCAATTTAGAGTTGCGTGGATGCTGCCCTGCGTCCCGAGGTGGTGTTCTAGGTGTCGTACTGTTCCCATAGGTCCCAGACTTTTTGGAACTTGGCCATTGTGTTTCGCACCTGAGAAGTCAGTTTATCCATAATGTAGTTGTCTCGTATTTTTGTCTTAACCAGGGATATATGTGGGAGGTCTGGACATGACCAGTGTTGTGCCAGGGATCTCCGAGCCGCTAAATAGAGCATGTTAAGTAGTCTTTGGTCGTGTCTGGGTAGGTCTTTTGTGGGTATTGAAAGTAGGCATGCCCATGGGTCTAGCCCCAGTCGCCTTTGTAGGATTTGGGAGCTGAGCTCCACAACGTTGCGCCAGTATTCTGCAACCTTCGGGCAGCCCCACCACATATGTATATATGTGCCCCGTCCCCCACACCCGTGCCAGCAGTCATCTGTGGGGCTTAGTCCCATATGTCTCTGTTTCACTGGGGTCATGTACCATCGAAATAGAGTTTTATAAGATTGCTCTTGCAGTGTCACACATATTGTGGTTTTGCTACATGCTTCCCAGATATCTTGCCACTCCGCTCCCTCTAATACCTCCCCCAGGTCGGCTTCCCACTGGTCGGTGTATCGCAGTGCGCCCTCCTCATTCGAGTTCCCGTTGAGGTGGTTGTACAGTAGCGTAATGAGTTTAGTTTGGGTTGTCTCATTGTAACATAGTTTCTCGAAAAAGGTTAGTGGTGTCAGAGCCGCCTTCTGTATGTCAGGGTTTTGTGCAAAGTCACGGATCTGCATGTATCTAAAGTAGTCTCTTGTTCGTAAGTTAGCTTTGGTGGCTAGGTGTTCGTATGTGACTACTTTTTGGTTCACATATAGGTGTACGTATCGTTGGAGTCCCGTGGCCTCTATCCCCTTATAGTCTCTTGCCTGCATTCCGGGAGGGAAGGCCCTATTCCTAAGGATTGGTGTCATGGGGGACGGATGGGAGCTGAGGGCGTATTTCATTTTGGTTTGGTCCCAGATCTGTATAGAGTTGAGTATGGCTGGGTTCGCTGTTCTTAGTATGGCTCTTTGTGTTTTGGGTGCCCATATGGAGAATTGTGGGAGATCCTGACCCGTCATCAGTGACTCTAGGTCCACCCATCGTCTCCTGTCTGGAGGCGTGTGCCACTGTATCACCTGTGTCAGCTGTGCGGCTAGATAATAGGTGTAAACGTTGGGTAGTCCCAGCCCCCCCCTGGATTTCGGTCTGTACATGAGGGCGCGCGCAGTTCTTGGGCGTTTGTTGTGCCATATGAAGGCATCGATTGCTCTTTGTATTCCCGTCAGGTCCCTCCGTGTTACTCTTATCGGGAGTGCTTGAAAGAGGAATAGTATCCTCGGCAGCACGTTCATTTTTATAGAGTTTACTCTCCCCAGCCAGGAGATGGGCCTATCCGTCCACTGCTCTAGTTCTGCGAGAAGGGTCCGGAAGAGGGGTGTATAGTTACGGGCAAATAGGGAGGCTGTGTTCGCTGTTAGCCGTACCCCTAGATACATGAGTTCGTCAGTAGTTAACTTGAAGTGATACGTGTCGCGTATGTGGGTGAGTTCCGGGGGTTCCAGGTGGAAGGGCATTGCTACTGATTTAGAGTTGTTAATTTTGTACCCTGCTATGTTGCCAAATCGCTCCAATACGAGCGATAAGTGGTGGAGAGAGTCTCGGTTCCCTGAGTGTCAGCATGACGTCGTCGGCATAAGCCGAGACCGTGAATGGTGTTCCCCCCCACCGTGACGCCCCTGATTTGCGGGTGCTGTCTGATGGCTTGTAGTAGTGGTTCCAAGGTTAAGGCGAAGAGCAGGGGGGACAGTGGGCAACCCTGTCTGGTGCCGTTTCCCAGGGTAAAGGGCATTGTTCGTGCCCCTGTGATGAGTATTTGTGCCCTCAGGTCGGTGTATAGTGCTTGTATAGCTGTTACAAATGTCTCCGGGAACCCCTGGAATCTAAGTAATTCAAATAAATAAGGCCATAGCACCCTGTCAAACGCCTTCTCCGCGTCTAATGAGAGCGCCAGAGAAGGCGCTCCGGATTCCCCCATGTGCCAGATTGTGCTGACCCCGCGTCTCGTGTTTTCATACAATTGGCGGCCTGGCATAAAGCCCACCTGATCTGGGTGGATCAAGCGCGGGAGCAGCACATTGAGTCTGGTTGCCAGGATTTTGGTGAATATTTTGAGGTCAGTGTTAATAAGTGAGATTGGCCTGTAGCTCGAGGCCAGTGTGTCGTCTTTCCCCGGTTTTGGTAGAAGGACAACATTTGCTGTAGCCATGTCGCCATCAGGCATCCCGCCCTGCAGAAAATGGTTGCTAAGGGTCGTCAGTTGGGGGGCTAGTACATCTTTAAATTGTTTGTAGTAACTAATGTCGTAGCCGTCTGGGCCTGGTGCCTTATTGCCCTTTAGGGAAGTTATAGCTGCCTCTACCTCAAGTTGTGTGATTGGTTCTTGTAGTGCGTCCGCTTCCGCCCCGTTCACTTTTGGAATAGTGAGTTCAGAGAGAAATTGGTGTATGTCTGCAATGTAGGCCGCATTGGTGGCCCGGAGGCGGGGGGAGTGGTTGTATAGTTCTGAGAAGTAGGAGGTGAACACTGCATTAATCTCGTCGGGCGTTTCGGCTAGTGTGTTATCTGTTGTGCGTATTTTTGTTATGATTTTGCCTTGCGGCCTCGGGCGGAGCGCCCTAGCCAAGAGTGTGTCTGTCTTATTTGCTTTCTCGTAATACAAGCGTTTGGACCATAGGATAGAGCGTGATACCGCCTCCAGGGTGAGGTCCCTGATAGAGTGTCTAAGGCCATTAAGTTCCCTAAGGTTCAAGTCTGTCGGGTTCGTTTTGTGTTGTTGCTCTTTTTTACGTAGGGCAGACTGTAGGTCGAGTAGCTGTTTTGTCTTAGCCCTCTTTTTTTTGGGTGGCTAGTTTGATAAAGTGGCCGCGTAGGACTGCTTTTATGCGCTGCCCAGATCGCGGTAGGGCTGGTTCCAGGGGTTGCATTTAACTCAAAGTATTCTGTGATGGCTTGCCGGGTTGTGGCTTGTGTTGTGTCGTCTCTTAAGAGGCTGGTATTAAGCCTCCAGGACCAATTGGATTTGTAGCATAGATTGCCTAACGTGAGTGTTATGTCTGCGTGGTCTGACCATGTGATATTATTAATGTCTGTGTGGAGGACCTTGGCCATCCCTGCGCCGTTGAGGAACATGTTATCTATTCTGGAGTAGGTGTTGTGTGGGGCCGAGTAGTAAGTGTAATCAGTCGTAGTTGGGTGTTGTAGTCGCCAGGCGTCTAGGAGGGCTGTGTGCGTCAGGAATGTGTGTAGTTGCCTGTCTTGCCCCCCCCCCCCTGCGATCGCACTGTGCCTGGTTTGGAGCTCCTGTCAGCTGCCGGACTCGGCACCGCATTGAAGTCACCTCCGACTAAAAGGACACCCGCCCCCGCCACCAACATTTCCAGGTTCGTCCAGAACACCTGGTCCGGCTCGTTGGGGGCATATACATTAACGATGTGCACTTTGGTGGTGTAGAGGGTGCCCCCTATGTATATAAATCTCCCCTCTGGGTCAGTTTGGGTGGTCGTGACGTGCAGTGGACAGCTCCTGCGCAGGAGTATTGCCACCCCTGCCCGTTTTCGTTGTGAGCGTGCTTCATAAACCGTCGTGTAAGTCCTGTCCGTCAGTCTGGTGGCTGCCGACCTGGGGAGGTGTCTCCTGTATCAGTGCAATGTCCACTTTTTTGGTCTTTAGGTCTCTTACCAGTAATCGACGTTTGTTGGGCGAGTTGAGGCCCTTGACGTTGAATGAGAGTACCTTAAGAGCCATGCGGAGGCGCAGTCGGTGCAATGAGCGTAGTGTAGTCTCCCGTCTTCCGGGAACCGCGGTTGGCGATGTATGTATGATCAGTTGTGGGACCCATCCCCGGCGGCGCGGGCAGCATCCAGGCAGGGAAGGTGGATTGAAGATTAGTACTTGTCTTAAGGGATAGTGAAAAAGAGAAGAAGGAAGGTTGAGTATCGAAAAACATTGTCAAAGAACATTCACATATACATAACAGATAAACAGTTAGTAACCATCTGGTCTTAACCTGGGCCAGATCAAAGTGGGGGTGTTCACCCCCTCCGAGTGACGTGTGGAATGCCATCTCTCGGAGTTGGTGAGTGCCCCGCGCCTGTCCACTGCGTTGTGGTGTGCAACCATTTTTGTTCTATGGCCCTTTGGCTAGGGCGCTCCGCTGGTGCTGTGGGTTCTAATACTCGCTGCCGTGTCTGTACTGGGTTTCTAGTACTTCCCATGGTGTTGAATGTTCGCTATAATGTGGTCCCCCATTTTGTCCAGGTCGTGTATGCGTCGGTGGAAAGTGGGAGAGTTACGTGTGGCCGTCACCATGCTACCAGCGGGTGCGGAGGGTCTGAGCCTAGGTTTCCCGTTCAATGTATGTGAGTACTATCTTGTCTATGATGTTACCGTCTGGGGTACCTCTCCCACAAGGAGGTATGATATGTGGTGATTGCGTTCGTGGGTTGTCAGTACATCAGCCCGCATTTCCCTCCAGTCCCCCCCCCCCCTTCTTATAACGAGGAACTGCAGGTAAAACTTCGGTGTGGTGTATCTTGGTGCGTCTCCCTCGGTGTGTGCGGGCCCTGTGTGTTTTAGTCCCCCCAAGGTCCACCTGGCATCTTTGGCTTCGTGCTGTCGAACGGTCCGTGTGTTGTACCGTGTGTCAGCCAGCACCGCCCCCCGTCCTCCCTCCCATAACATGCCCTTGATGTCTCCTGCTTGAGGTATAGAGTATGTGATGAGGTACATAAAAAAGGGAGAGTCTGCGCCTCTAGAGGCGAAGCAGAGTTTAGTTTGGCATATCATGGTAAGCGCATTGAGGAAGTGACCGTCCTTTTATGTTGGGTCCCTCAGGGCCCAGCTCATGCCTGTGGGGCTGGAGGAGGAGGAGGAGGAGGAGGAGAAAAAAAAAAGTCCAGTAAAAAAAAGATATGGTAGTCCCTTGGGTGAGCTTATCCGTCCGACGTGTGGAGCTTGCTGCCTTGAACCTTGTGGCCGTTTAGTCCTGCTGCAGGTTTCAGGCCTCTCTCTCCACTCGTGCTGTGACCGTGTACCAGTCCCTTGGGAGGGGTGTGAGAACCGGACGAGTCGGTCCCGGTAGAGCGAATTCTCGCGGCGGTGCGATGTCCAGATCCCGGAGGAACTTTCTTGGGTCTCCTCCCGGTAAGTAAGTGATTGTCTTCCCCGCTTTGAAGGCTACAATTTTAAAGGGGTGGCCCCAGGTGAAGTGGATTTCATTTTGCCGTAATAGATCTGTCAATGGCCTCCACTCCCTCCTTCTTTGCAGCGTGCTCGGGTCCAGGTCCTGGAATAGAGATATGGGTTTGCCCTTATAGGTAAAGTCATGATGTCTATTGTGTCTCAGTAGAGCTTCCTTAGTCGAAAAGTAATGGAAGCAGATTATTATATCTCGTGGCGCATCTGCGTTCAGGCGCCGGGCACGCAGAGCCCTGTGTGCCCGGTCCATCGCCCATTGGGCCTTGGGTATTTCTGGTAGCAGTTTGCTAAAGTATTCCTCCATAATGGGTGCCAAGGGGCCTTCCTGCGGTGCTTCCGGCCAGCCCCTGACTCGGAGGTTGTTTCGCCTGGTGCTATTGGAGAGGTCCTCCACTTGCAGTTCTAATGCACTGAGGTGTTGATGCAGGGATGTGGAGTGTGTTATGACAGAGTTGTGGCCTTGTACTAGTGCTTCCATGCGCTGTTCTAACTCTGCCGTGCGGGCGCCCAGGGCCTGGATCTCTGCTTTAATGTCTAGGGTGCTGCGTGTGATCTCCCCTGCCAGAAATGTTTTTACCTCTGTGAGTTGCTGGAGGATGTGTCTGGTGGCGTCCCCTGCCTGGTCAGGCTGTCCCATGCTTGTACCTGTTGGTGGGGAGTGGGAGTCTCGTGTCCGGCAGCCATCTTGTGCGGCCTGAGCGGCATTTGTAGCCGCGAACATATCTGCCACGGTAGGAGAGGAGGTGAGCGGGTCCCGTCTTTTTTTCCCTCGTGGGGTGGCACTGGGACCCTTGTGGGGCATGCAGGCATCGGAGTGTGGTCGCTATGCGGCTTACAGGGGCTTGGATGGCAGTGGGTGCGCGGGAGCTCTCCGATCAAGCCGCCATCTCCGTCGGCTGCTAGGCCACGCCCCTGATATTATTTTTAAACCTTTGTCCCTCTAATTTAATGTCCTCTTGTTGTGGTAGTTTTTCTTCTTTTAAATATAGTCTCCTTTACTGTGTTGATTCCCTTTATATATTTAAATGTTTCTATCATATCCCCCCGTCTCGTCTTTCCTCCAAGCTATACATATTAAGATCCTCTAACCTTTCCTGGTAAGTTTTATCCCGCAATCCATGAACCAGTTTAGTAGCCCTTCTCTGAACCCTCTCTAAGGTATCAATATCCTTCTGAAGATACGGTCTCCAGTACTGTGTACAATACTCCAAGTGAGGTCTCACCAGTGTTCTGTATAATGGCATGAGCACTTCACTCTTTCTACTGCTAATACCTCTCCCTATACAACCAAGCATTCTGCTAGCATTTCCTGCTGCTCTATTACATTGTCTGCCTACCTTTAAGTCATCAGAAATAATCACCCCTAAATCCCTTTCCTCATATGTTGAGGTTAGAACACTATCAAATATTCTGTACTCTGCCCTTGGGTTTTTACGTCCAAGATGCATTATCTTGCACTTATCCACAATCATTTAGTCATAGAATATCCTCCTAATCCTTAGCTTTGTAACAGAGCTATTTCTTTAATAGTGACTCTAGGACAATATATCTTCAGTTTGAGGTCAATTTTGACAGCAGTGAATTAACTTGTTCGTTTTTTTTTTTTTGTTTTTTTTAAAGCTTTTTCAAATTTGCAGTTATGCCATCGCCAAACTTTTTTTTTATCGTATATTTATTGTTTCCTGTTTGATCCCATCCACCACTCCCTCAACTATCTTATTATTACATTATCCCTGGTAGGCCCTCTTTATTACAGGCCTACCTGTACGTTGGTTTCAGCACAACACTACAAACGTTCTCCCTTTCCTCTATTACATATACTATTTAAGTTCCGACCACACACAAAAAAAATGGTGTGTGTGTTTATCTCAAACAAATCTTCTTGCCTTGTAGATTTAATATTTGCATTAACTAGGGACTTGTTATTGTCTTCTCCAAATTCCAGAGTTTATAACATACTTAAATGAGAAGCAGAGGATGATCTTAGAGTTCTGAAATTGGATTGACTTTTCAGTAAAGCTGTGTCTACTGTTTCCATTAGTGTAAATCATCAGTTAAAATGTCACGTAGATGACAGTCTTCATCAGTGACGATATGAATTGGAGAGGAGGTGTGAAATAAGAAAATATATATACATGGACGGTGGCCTTTAGCTGAAGATGCCCTTCTGGTCTCACAGGGCACACTAGGTGGCCCTGATCATAGTGAAATCAACAGTTGCAATCTAGGTGCCTTAATGCTTTTTTTTTTTTTCTACATTGGAACAACACATTTGATCATAAAATAAACTATCATTATGTACTTTATAGTGTGTAAACATTATTTAGTTGTGTTAATAAATTAGCTTTAAAAGGGAAACTTTTATTTATTCTCTATCCAGAAAATAAAAGCATAAAATAACATTTGCTGCTGAATTTCTACAAATGATTACTGGGACAAAATATATTCCCCCAACCCCAGCTTTACATTCATTAGTGGAAATAAGGCCCTTTATTCGTTGCCACATAAAGGTGAAGTTTGAAAGATCCTATATGAAGATATTTAATTCTTGTGGTAAAAAGGCTTATGACCTTTTCTTTTAACCAAACTGCTGAAAAATATATCATGTCTGAATAGAAAAAAAAGTTACTCACTAAAAAACAAACCAAACAAAAAAACAAAGGATATCTATATGTAAACAGTCATTCAGACTTGTATTATTTCATATAGTAATGTCTCATAGCTGCAGAGTGGCAGTGGGGGAAAACCAGAAATACAATGGTTTATGGCTGGGTTCTTTACTGGACTTATTCATCAACAATTTGACCCAAGAAGAAGCAAAGGGAAAAAATGAATGAATGTCATTGAAATGATAGTATAAAACCGATTGTATCAGAAAAATAGAAATCAAAATGGGAAGCCATCACAGAAAATACTAATGCAGTATAATACCCACACATGTACACAGGTTATAAAAGTGCATTACATGAAAATACTCTATTCTAAATAAAGAGTCCATAGCATTAGTATGGATTTCCCTATGAGACAAGAAATATTAATGTTCTTACCTATATCGATACAATTACAACTGAAAAGTCCCCATAATCCTAGCACAGCCCCATCAGGAAAAAGAACAGATGACTGCTCTGGTGGTGGATGTGGCACTATCCAGTAACCATAATGTTAAGAAGAAAGGGCAAGAGAAACTGGACTAGTAAAGAACAGCTAGACAAAGTTGTGTAATTTGCAAATAGGAAAAACAGAAACTAGAAATAGTTCATTGGAAAATCGATAAAGAGGTGAAGAATGTCCTAAAATAAGGACCAGATCCCAGCTGTGAACTATTACAAGTGAGACTAAAGAATAACCTATATAAATTCCAATATATAATTAAACATCAAAAATATCAAATATTTTTGAGGGACAGTCAGGAATTATGAACTGGCAGATTCTTTAGGAGATGTAATCCTAAAATCAGAGTGGATCAGTTCTCCACTTCAGCAAATGATTCTAGCAGCTCAGAGATTAAACAATCTCAAGATCCCAAAACCAATTTCACAGATAAAAGCATGTCAAAAGTTTATTTTATTTTTTTTTAATTTTTTTTAGGGAAAACACAAATAGAATAACTTTTGCACCTAAGAACACATAGTTAACAGAATCCAAATACGGTCTGGTGGAAAATGTATTCAACCCAGCCAGACCATTCACCTGTCCAGTAACACCCTTACATCTGATAAATTCAAGGTTTTGAGTAGAGATTTGTCCTTCGTTCCAGCCCCTAAATTTGATAAATCCTGCTAAATAAGGTATATGCACCTATTAACAAGGAAATTAGCCCTACCATCAAAGTACCATCAAACAAGAGAGAAAATAAATTGTTTGTATTAGAAACAAGTTACGTCGGCGGGGGCAATATCTGACCCATCACTGAGGGACATCGGCGCTGGATTCAGGTAAGTCACTGAAGGGGTTTTAACACCTTCAGCAACGTGGGATGGTAGGTGGGAGGGAGAGGGGCACTGCAGAGTCCTGCAGTGCCAGGAAAACGGACATGGGAAGTAACCACAAAACTGTGTGGTACTGTGTGCCAAATTGGGGGATAGCTGCGACCCGGTGGTACTTTTAAGAATTGTTGTTGTAGGGATGGTATTTAAAGAACTGCTTTACAGCTTTAGCCTAAAGGGTTTAATTTGGTTTACTTTAAATAACAGAAAAGAACAATGACCCTCATAAAAGAAAATTAGGAATCGGCATTTCACATAAAATATAGACCCAATGTAAGATTCTCAGCTATAGGAACACTATAGGGTTAGGAATGCAAACATGCTCCTAGTTATACATAGGTCCCCCTCTTCCTTTTCCAATAAATGTAAGAAAATAAAGCTCTTTAATGAACCTTTTCCAGCCCTGAGACTCCCTTGGTGAACCTCATGTCTCCTCCTCCTGCAACACTATCGAGGAATCATGGCCACCTCCACCTTAAGGAACAAAGGGACAAATCAATGTAGCTTATTTATACTAAGGGAACCTTATTCAGTATCACTTTTCATGTAATGTTCATAAAAAGGAACA